ATACTATACTATACTATACTTTACTTTACTATACTATACTATACTATACTATACTATACTATACTATACTCTTAGGGTTTTAGGGATGGGTCTTGGGCTCACAGAGAGCCCGTTTGGGACTCAAAGAGAGCCAAAAGCCCCTCGAGCTTCCCGAAGAGGTTTCACCCTGCAAGTGGCTGAAGACCAGCCACACCCCAGTATGCTAGTGATGAACAGTGACCCCCTCGCAGGTTACCATGGTAAGTTCTTTTCGTCCCTAAACCCTAAACTCTAAACCCTAAACCCTAAACTCTAAACCCTAAACCCTAAGCCTTAGCCGTCATGCCTGGCAATCCTAGCCTGTTTTGGAAGTGGGAGCCTTTCGAAGAGACTGGGAGGTTGGTTCGCATGTATTGTTGAGGATACCTAAAGGGTCATACCCTAACCCTTTTTTAAGGTACCTAGCTTTATGTCTAGGATCTGTTATATGAAAAAAGTAGGTACCCTAAAACAGGGGTAGGGTATGACCCTTTAGGTACTTCATATCTATCTATTGATATAGCTATACATGTATCACTAGATGTAACCGTACATAACTGCATAAAGCAATATTATATGTGTATACATATAGACAAACATATGAGAGGTCACTAGGTTGTTTCCTGTTCGCTCGTTGCTGATGCTTTGTGGTTCTGTAGCAAGTCTTTTAGGGCGGAGGGGGTTAGGGCTCTAGGAGTTTGGTTTCGGGTATAGGTTCTGTATGTGGATCCGAGTCGATGAGAGTTACTAAGAGTCTCCTGCTTAGGGTTTTAGGGCTTAGGGTTTAGGGCTTAAGGGTTTAGGGCTTAGGGTGTAGCGGTCATGGTGCCTAAACCCTTAACCCCAAACCCACTCTCGCACGGTTCGTCACATTTGCATGCAATCGGCCTGGTAGCGGCGCCGAGCATTAGGAGGAGCAGGCCGGCTCCAGTTCTGCAGACTTACCACGAATGGAAGCCCTGAGACCCTAAGAGTGAATTCTAGTTTATTGTATTATGTAGCATACCATAGAATGCTAAGCGATCTTTATAGTATATAGTTTAATTCAATATATTATAGAATGCCAAGCGATCCTTAAAACTCAACACCGTCACCCATCACTTTACCTGCCAAGAACTTCGGGCTGTGGTACTTCCAATGCTGACTTCCTTTGCTGCTGATCTATTAGACTGGGTCAAGTGTTGACAGGTTTTCGGGACATGTTGCTCTGGTACCGAACTCGAACCCTATACTGCTGCACTGCAAACCTGGATACTTGGATGACTGGGTATCAGGGTACTTGACTACAACCCCCCTAAACTAAACACTTATCGGCGACTCGACCTGAACAGCCTACGCAGTCTAAAGTATATAGACCCCTGTGCACCCTGACTGTACAGCAGTCTGTGGGATCCATGTTCTAAGCCATGGTAGATGGGTGTGATCGTGATTGCAACAAAAGTGCTGATGGCAATAGCAGGTGTCGATATTGATATCAAGAGTCATGATGATCTGTGTTTCCTGGTCGTCATCGTCGTAATTTTACTGTTAAATAATACTCATACTAGTACTAGTATCAATACTATTAGTAATACTAGTTAGTCCATCTGTAGTAGTAGTTGTTGTTGTAGTAGTAGTAGTCGTCGT